TTATCAAATACTAGTAGGTCATTTCATGACCCCTAAAGGTCACACATCCTGGTACTTTTGTTGATATGGCAACAAACATACACAATTTTATTGAAGTACCAGTAGTTAAAACAAATAATTAAGTTGAGTTAATTGTGCTGAAATTTAAATATTATAATAAATTCATTTCTGATTTCCATGCCAACAGGAATATCAGGTAAAGATGCTTTCGGTGGAAAATTCATTGGTTTGCACAATCCACTGAGAATTTTTGTCCATTTACTAACTTACTGAATATTGTCCATGGAAATTTAGAACTTTTGTGAATATTTATCTTGGGATCATACTCTGAAAGTTTAACGACTCACAAAAGGCTGTTGTGAAGATTTTGAACATTAAATGTTTTTTTGTTTTTTTTTACAAGAAAACAGTCCACCTGGTTCTAATTTACATAAAGGGAATTATGCTGGCAAGGATTTGCATAGACTGCGAAGCTATTGTAATATTCCTCTCAATGCACCAAGTGATGTCGCAGAGGTGATGTTTGTGAAAGGTGAGAGTATTTCACTCCAAATGTATTAATAACCATGACAATAATATTTATTTGATGACAAAAGAAAACATGCATGTGCAGAGGCTTCAACTTATTTCATTGAGAGAATTACAAGTTGTGTGCTCCAGACCAGAACAGTTTTTATTGATAGGATAGGATAGGATAGGATAGGATAGGATAGGATATAGGATAGGATGGGATATTTTATTTGGAATGTACACAAAAACAATGCTTGAGTAAAGTCCAATATAAGAAACATAAAACACAACTAATCTAAAATAATTTTAAAATCTGAAATACAAAATTAACTAAAATGCTACAAACATATTTGTCTACACTTGAGAAAACATTAATAAACAATTCTCCATTTGATAAGGTTTGATAATCAGGTGAGTATATATATAAGTGCATAGAGGAATTATTTTCCTGTGTTCTGAAAAACTGTTTACAATGAAAAAATTAATGTTCTTCATCGCCCACATCATTAGAGTCACACTTGTTACATGATATATTGTAATCCAATCTAATCAGCAATATACAATATTACAAACATACATCAAACAGCAGTATTTTAAATTACCTGGTACATGTTTTTATGAAAACATATCTGGTCTTAATTCAACATATTGGGAATAATTTATACAGTTTTGTGATTTCTCACATGATTTCAGTGCAGGGTCGGTTTTCACTCATGTGTGCCAAATTGTTAAATAATCCAAGTTATTTTATATATTTTTTTTACAGGAACATTGTCAGCACAAAGGCTTTTAACAGCTATTTCAATGGATCTTGATGATAAAGCAGTGGAAGATGTATCGAGAGAGCTATGGCTTAGAATATGGTCAAAGGTAACAATTTCAGTTTGAATCTTTTTGTTTTTGTTCAGGTTTTTCGTTCTTTTTCCAATATTTGTTCGTCCAGTCGCTTGAGATAATGATAGACCCTAATGTGACTTGTTTTACCAGACCTTCAGAATTGTGATTGGTCAATTGGTTTGGTAGCCATCTTAAATCGGAAGTGGCCATTTTGAACATTCTGAATTTTTTGTTGGGATATTGGCTGTATACTTGTTTCACAAATAAAAACTACAGTGGTCATGTGACTTTTTCTGCGAGTTTTTTTTCCAGAAAAACATCAAAACATGCTTAAAGATTTTTTTCATCAGACCCACTGAACATATTGATGTAAAACTCATTGTTTAGCATTTTATCATTATAATTACATTTTAAGCATATTTAAGTTTGAGAATTTGGAGGGTGGGTGGTTACATATTGGTTTATCCATCATTTTAGATTTCTTCAAAACAGAAAGTAGTTATCCTATTTCTTCAAAATGAACTCCTTCAGACAGAAAAAAATAATTCAAGTTAGTCACATGGTTTCGACACCAATCTTTTATTTTTGACAACAATGGCCAAAAGTTTGATATTGTATATATATACGGTAACTTGTATGGGCCACATCTTAAGGAAGAATGAACAAAATTAATTAGTCTCAGGGTTTGGTTGCCATTTTAATTTCTTACAAAAATGATCAACATTTTGGGTTTTTGTTTCTCATGAGTGCTTCAATTGATCCACTTGATACTTTGTATATAACATGTATGGCTAAAGCTTCTTATGAGAAAAATAGAATATTATTGATCAGTTGTGTGGTTTGGTAGCCATCTTGGATTTTCAGCAAAAATGGCCACAATTTGGGGCCCATGACACATCAACTTGTACTTTTGTGTGTAGTATGTATGACCAAAGCATCTTCTGAGAAGAATTAGAGCTCTGATTGAAATCTTGTATAAACAAACAATGTATACACGTTGTAGGTCTCATGCCACTAATTAACCAATGGCTGCTCGTAGCCAATTTAAATGCTTTGCAAGAACCAATGAAATTTTTTAAATATTTTTTTCTCAGGTGCTCCCTGTTTGAGGGCGTAATCATCCAAGCGGCTGTGTACCTGTGGGTTTATTCTGTTTGTATTTGGATGTTCTAATCTTGGTATTTTTCCAGTGATTTCTCTAGGTGCAATCCAAATACAGTAGGTGTGTCTTGTTTACCTGAGATTTGTAAGAGTTTGAGCTGGCCAACATGTTAGTTTTTTTCATATGGTTGATTACTGGCATGTTGATTTCCCATTTTTGAGCCATGTTTTCAACTTTCTTCATCATTTTCATATAGCAATCTCGTCATATGTTAACATTGTTGTCTATGGAAATTCAATTAGTGGTATGAGCCCTGTATACATTGCATGGAACCCATATTGAAACATGACACCATTATATAGTGACTCCATGTGGTGCTTCAAGAATTATTAGATTTTTTAAAATCATAATATATGACTAAGGATTATATGGCTTCACAAATAAATTAACATAAACAAAAAAAATTTGTATTTTTAAATGGGTACGTCATATGTATTACCGGTAAAATCTTATGTTGAAAAAGATCTTTCCCATTGAGTACAATTTATTTTTTATTCTGTAATCCAGCTTCAAATGTGTTTGGTATTTATTTGTATCTGTAATGCACATATATTTTTTATTGAAACTTGGTCAAAATTAGAAATAACAAGTAACAAGTTCTGCCTTTAGCTTAGAAACTTGTGTATTCTGGTGTAAAAAAACACTTGGGGGGGGGGTGTGTGTGCGGGTGGTGGTGATTTCACTGCATAAGGGTTTGATATTCATCACACTGGGAAACAAGTGAGTGAATTGTGTGAGCCAGAAATCACCCCCCCCCCCTTCCCAATTCTTGTACTGGAACTGACTGATGGCGCTATAATGCAAAGCTCATGTATTCCAGAAAATTATCCCTATGTGGCTATAGCATTATTGTGACTGAAAATGCAATATTAAAATTAGAATCTTTTTAAGATATTAATTGTTGTTTGATACTGTATGCTGATTAGTAAAATCTGGACGACTAGAGTGAGAACTGATCGACCTTTTCACTTATTTTGATGAATATGGATATTCATTCCAAGTACTAGTATATTATTTACATTTATTAAACAGGTGACGGGAATTTAAAGTCTTCAATATAAATTGGTTAGAATTTTGATGGCGCCAATCAAACTGTGAAAGTGAGAAGGTTGTCACCTGTGCATGTGCGGGAATTGAGCCCCAAGCGACGATAACACATGCTAAAAACGCACAGGCTCGTGTGTAGATGCTTGATTGTAAACAATGACATGCTATGGCCATCTGGCGCATGCGCAGGTGACGACATCTCCACTTTAAATCTTGCGAAGTTATTTGTGATAATTTATGTTCTAGCAGGGCTAATTTTGATTCTCATCATTGAACAGTGAAAATATAAAAAATCACACTGATTTGAAGAATATCTTTACTGGTCAAATTGAGAAGGAGAGTAAATTTCTCACTCCATTCTTGCACTTTTTACCAATAGTGACATTTGATTGAGGTTCATCATGAGTTTAAAATGTTTTTCTTGCAGCCTACATTTGATGAAAAAATATAAATCATCTGATACATGTATGTTAAACAGTGTTCAAAATTGCATGTTCTCATTCATATTGCAAATAATGTGTATCCTACATGTATACTTATATACTATATTTGTATTTATGACAGGACAAAGATATTACTGAAGCAGACAGTCTCTTAGCAGTGAGTATTGGGGGTTTAAACTTCCTTATCAACCGTTCCACCACCGGACTTCATCACTCAAATTTGTCTTCACTTTTTAGCTCCGCTGTCGACTTTGTCGAGCAAAGCTTATCATATGAGTGATTGTCCGTCGTTGTCCGTAGTCTGTGTCAATGTTTTACTTTTCCGACTTCTTCTTGCAAACTACTAGCCTGAATGCTTTGATACTTGGTGTATATGTACCTTGGGTAGACCTCCCTTAGATTTGTTCATTTCATGTTGATATCTTCAATTCTCTAATTTTGGTGAATATTTTTGTCATTTTTGTAAAAAGTAATATTTTCGACTTCTTGTTTAAAAACCAAGTTCAATTGATTTGATATTACATATATAGGTACTACATGTGGACCTCTCTCAGATTTGTTCAATTTGTAATGATATCTTTGGTTCTCTAAATTTGGTGAATATTCTTGTCATTTTTGGTAAAAAGTGATATTTTCGACTTCTTGTTAAAAACCGCAAGTCCAATTGCTTTAATATTACATATATAGGTACTACATGC